GTGTGAAACATACCCGTGTGCCTACTGCTGGTCCAAACCCGACTTCACGGCGAGAAAAGGGACACATCTCCGTGAGGACGTTACACGCGGGTGCCATTGGCAGTCCCGAACCGTTGGTGCCGGCGCTTGAGCGCAGCTGATGCATGATGGGTCGCATCAGTGCCTGGTGTGTACCTCGTCACATCGCATAGTTCGCCCGTAGCTGAGGGGGAAGTTCTCGCTAGGTTTCGCATTTTGGAAGGGGCTTGGCTTAGGCGCAGGGAAGCTGGGGGTCATAGTGTTATGCATATTTTGTTTTTTATTTGGTTAACCCCTTCGCCCCGGATTTATCTTCTGCCCCCTGTAGTTTTTGGTGAATTTTGTTACATACAGATGGTTCCACATGTGCTCAGCCGGCAAGGAGTCTGTCAGTAGGCCCTAGTTACCGATCATGATTTTCCCATTCATTGAATTGGCGGGGAAATTAATACCATTGTTATCGATAGTGTTATTGTTATTGATGTGCTGATTATTAAGTTGTCATTAAAATATTTTAGACAATAAGATGATACAAAAAACTTTCCTAAAGCGAAGGAAAAGGGTAAACAGGTGAGATAGGTAGTTCCGATAAACTGGCTATTTGGTGATTAAGAACTTGTAGAGCCATCTACAAGTTTAACTATTTGGGCAGCATGATAACTGAAGATGGTAAGTGTGATCAGGAAATTAGTAAACGAATTGGAATGACAAAAGCTGCATTTGAAAAACTGGGGAGCATATTAAAGAACAAACTTTCAATGTCAGTCAAACTCAGAATACTTAACTGTTATGTGTTTTCCATTCTCACATATGGAAGTGAATGTTGGACAATCTCGCAAAGCATGGAGAAACGGTTGGAAGCCGCAGAAATGTGGTTTCTCAGGAGAATGATGAAAATACAAACCAGGAAGTGCTGGAGAGGGCAGGAGCAAAGAGATTTATTTTGACAGGCATCAGAAAGAGACAACTAGAATTTCTCGGGTACGTAATGCGGAAAGAGGCACTAGAACATCTTAGTGTAACAGGCAAGATCAATGGAAGACGAAGTAGGGGCAGACAAAGACTAACATATACAGAAAGCATAAGCAGGTGGACGAGAGCATCGGAGCAGGAACTTTTGAAAACATCAAAGGACCGGAAGAGGTGGAAGGCCATGATCGCCAACGTCCTTGCGGGACAGGGTACTTGAGAGAGAGAGAGAGAGCCATCTATCTGTAAATACAATAAATAAACGTGTATTACAGTGGGCATGGCATCTGGGGCGAATGGTTTAAGAGAAAGTCGCCAGGCACCTGCGTCTGCCCAAGGAAAAGGACAGCTGCTGGGATGGAGGTGTGAAGTGTACCATTCGGTCTTGCTACCTATTGTTAACAGCCACCACTTCATTACTACTCCCTCTATGAATGTGTATATGTCGTTCTGTCTTATACTTTTCGCACTAATCGTCTGCTTATGGACACATAGTTTTGATACATGTCGATTATCTGCTCTAAGCCCAAACCCCTGCCTGCCCACTCTACACAGATTTCACTCAAAGATTATGAATTTACTAAGTGCCATCCCTATAACTTATAGCTGAGCCGAAATTGCTTTCATGATGTCCTCTCGAAGTTCGGTATCTTGTCCTCAGTAATGCTGGAATTTATGCTTATTTAGTTTTGTACTAAGGGTAGTGTCTCCAGTTGCAGGTAATGGCAATGCATTGCAAACAACATACTTTATATTGGCTTACACAGTTATTATCACCGCAAGTTAATTTTAAGCCTGGCTCATGGCCGTAAGCGATGTAATCCTCCGTCGGCTGCACCGAGAATTACGCATTCTTACGCTCATATGATTGAAGTGCCTGAGACACACACCGCTAGAATTAGGTTCAGTTCCAGCTGCCTTGAGTCTGAATCATAAGTACTTGCCTATTTAGCCCAAAAATATGAAATGCTTGTCCAAATATTTTTTCTCTCTTCAAATGATGGTGCTCTACTGAACTCACCAATCTTAACAAGTAATCAATACTTCACGTGACACGTTACCCTTCTTGTGGTAAATTGTTCTTATTATGCTTTCATTTTTCTTTCAACTTAGTAAGGCTATTGATAAACATATCATTATCCTCCTCCTTAGCCCGTTTACTGGCCTGGTACACTTATATTTCAACCTCTGAAGACGATGTAACCCTTCTCGCTGCTGAATGTTGCACCCCTGGGCAAAACCTCTGCCTACGACCGTAGCGACCATCGGATCACCAGGAACCTTCTGAAGATACTGAACTACTGCGGTGTTTCAAGCATTGCAGATGACTTGAGGACGGGCCTTGCGCATGGCCGAGCGATGTCAACAATACATAGCAGGACCGGATGGTACACTTCACACCTCCGTCCCAGCAGCTACCTTTCTTGGGTGGACACAGGTGTCACCCAGTCTTCTCTTTTCACATGGACATGTTCGTAAGACAGAGGAAGGGAGGGTCCAGAGGGTCCAGCTA